GATTTACTACTCCTTTAATTACACTACTATTTCAAGATAAATAACTTGCTTGTTGTTTCCTATTGGTACCTTTGAGCTAGTATTCAAAAAGTTTCCTGATGATTTTCTTGCTTCACTGCAGATATAGCATTTATTTCAGAGTAAAGTGAATTCATTTCAAGATTTTTTTTGTATCCTAAAGAGATTACACAAATAGGAAAAGGACCCATATGTATAAAAATATTTATAGCAGCTCTTTTTGTGGTGGCAAAGAATTGGATATTGAGGAACAAGTTGTGGTATATGAATGTAATGGAATACTATCATACTGTAAGAAATGATGAGCAGGCAGACTTCAGAAAAACCTGGAAAGACTTGCATGGATTGATGCTGAGTGAAGTGAGCAGAACCAGGAGAACGTTGTACACAGTAACAGCAACACTGTGCAATGACTAACTTTGATAGACTTCGCCTTTCTCAGCAATGCAAGGATCTAAGACATCTCCAAAGGTCTCATGATGGGAAATGTTATCCACATCCAAAGAAAGAACTATGGAGTTTGAATGCAGATTGAAGCATACTATTTGCTATTTTTTTCTTCTGTTTTGTTTTGTTTCCTCTTTCTGATGGTTCTTCTTATTGGTTCCAATTCTTCCTTACAACATCACTAATGTGAAAATATGCTTAATAGGAATGTATATGTATAGCCTATATCAGATTGCTCACCATCTTGGGGAGGGAGGGGGAGAAAAATTTTAAACTGAAAAGCTTATGGAAATGATTGTTGATAAATCAAAACAAACTAATAAAAAAAGGAAAAAAAGAATTTTTTAATAGGGCATTTTTGAAGTATCTATAAGACAAAAGCTACTACAATACATATATACTGAATATTTTTTTCTGTGTATAGTCTCCGAAAGTTAGATTGACTTTCTGATTGCTTAGTAAATTTTTTTTTTCCAAAAAAGGTTGGCAATTAAAAACCTAGTTTTGATATACATAATGCAGTTTGAACTTTTAATCCTTTGGCCATTCTAGCACTGCTTTTAGTCTAAGTTTGGACTGCTTAAAGTCAGTAGAATAGAGCCTTATGGGGAATCTTCTGTAATTGGAAACAGTTTCTGTGTAAGGAGGTATTTGTTAACACTGTTTGTAGTACTATAGTGAGCATGTAACTTCAGGGTCTACTCTTTGGTCCTCTTTGCTTTCAAGCATCAAAGAACTTGAGAATGTGAAGAGGTCCCAATCCTGTTTTATAGATGAGTAGGTTAAATCCTAAAGGAGCTTAAGTACCTTGCCCAAGGTCATATAGCATTTTTATTGGCAAAGCTGAGGATCCTTCTCAGTGAAAGAAATCTGTATCTAAAATAAAGTCTAATACTTGACATTGACATGTTTTAGCTTAGACACTGCAAATGCTACATTTCACTATGACTCAGATACTCAGTGCCAGAAAATTAAAATAAACTGGATACAGCCAAGTTCTCTAATTCTCATTCAACTTTTTTTTTTTTTTTTTTGGTTACTGCTTAAGCACTGAAGAAAGTAAAGGTGGCAAAGGAAAAAATAGCAAAAAACCAAATATGCATACACATGCATGCACATGTATATACACACATATGTATAAAATATACATATGTATACCTGTAAGTATGTACACATATTGTCTCACATGTATGCATACACACATGCACACACGTATCTAAAAGGCTTCCTAAAAAAAACAAGATAGTCACACATCACCAAAGTGTAAAAGTATTTGTAGGACAACATCATTTGCAGGTCATCTGAAATGAATTGTCTACATTGGCATCTGCTTTGACTTGTTGGCAGAAGCAGAAAAAACCACTCCATCACACTGCAGACGGCTCCTTATTAGCTGTGGCTTCTGCAGTGGCTCCGACTCTTCTTTGGAGCATGGAGGACTTCTTCTATTACATAATCCAGATACTTTTTTTAAAGCAGACATTTTAACTTAAATATGTGCAATTTCTCTTTGCACCAGTGTTTCTATATTGAAGTTATTATGCCAAAGGAATGTAAAAGTCTTCAGAAACAATGCTTCATTTTTCTTTAATGACTTTGTCGACAGGATGGAGACATTTTTGTGGTATGATGAATTCACTTGGTCTCCTGTTGTGTATTCCCCACATGCTCTGGAAATCACTTCTCTTTTTCTGAGACCAGTAGTAACCAATGCCTTAACTTCAGCAAGAACTTCACTGTTTTACCTTGTTGTACTTAAATGACACCCCAGTAGCATTTATATTCTAGGATAATTGATGTTAATGATATGGTACTTAGTGGAAAAAATTTTTTCTGATCTTCTGAGTTCCACAGTCCTGTAAAACTATAAGCAAATCATCACTATTGTAAAGTAAAACTTACTCTCCCCTCCCCACCCCAGACAATTATGGTTTTAGCAGGCTACAAGAGGTAGAAGCACAGCTCATAAATGACTAACATTCCAAGACCTTCTAGAACTCTGGCAATATCACAAATCCCATACCATCTTTTACTGTGTGATGCCTTTAACTTCCACTATTCTGTATATATGATTTCCTCCCCAAGTTCTTACTTTTAAAAACTTCTTTCGTATATAAGATAATAGAAACATTGATTTAGAGCTGGAAGAGGCCTCAATGATCATCTATTCCTTATTTTACAGATGAAAAAACTAAAGTCCAGGGAGAGGAATTGCCTTACCTAGGGTCCCACCAATAATAAGCAGCAGAGTCAGGATTTGACTCTTGAGAGAAATGATTATCAATAACAAATAATTCGAGGAGAGCTAGAGTTCTTCCCCTTCTTCTAATGTCCTAATTTTAAAAGTTCAGTCTCTTGAAGGACATAACTGATAATGAGATTGGACTTTCTTGGAAACAGTTTCTGTGTAAGGAGGTATTTGTTAACACTGTTGGTAGTATTACGGTGAGTATATAACCTACAGGTCTATCTTTAAATCAAGAAACACTATCAATTCTCATTTAGTGAAATTTTCATTAAAATGTTTTGGTTTAAGATGACTTCTTTAGATCCATCTTGATTTCAGTTAGTTGCTTCAACTTCACATACAGGGTAACACCTTTTGTTACCTTTCTCTAAATTCTACAATCTATATTGAACTGAGTCTCAAGATTGTTATTATGGTGGGTATTCCTTATTCTTATGATCACCCTGGTATTTGGCATAAATTGAAGTGTTGTGAAATCACTAAAAGCAAAATGCAAAAATTAAGTTCACCATGTGTGTAAGAAGTGAATGATATTGCACAAGAAACAATAGGATTATGGAAATGGAAGAGAAATCAGAGGCCCTCTAGTCTACACCCTGCTCCTGACTTTCAGAAGAGGAAATTGAGACAGACTAGTGACTTGCCTAAGGTCACACAGGCAGTAATGAAGGGATTTAAAGCTAGGTTCTTTCATTTCAGTGCTAAAGTTCCTTCTACTGTACCAGGCTTCCTCAATACAACTATAAATTTCTGTAAAAAAAATTAATCTGGAACACAAATTCAGAGGAAGGAGACAATGGCAGGATAGTAAAATCAAAAAGAAAAGGGTCACAATATTTCACCATGTATAACATTGTTATAAGAGTGTGTCATTGCTGAAATTTAGACTGCACGTGCAGGAGTGCCACAAACATGATTATCCCTCCCCCGAGGCAGCATGGAGAAAAAAAAATTTAAAAATCAGTTTCAGAAAGCCATTAGTTTATTTTAAATAACTTAGAAGAGGGTAAGGAACTGGATTATCTCTGATTTACCTATGTTTATGTAATTGATACTGATGATCTAGAAAACAAGTATATCCAATTTTTCATTTTGAACCTGAGGGCATACTAATAGGAAAAAACTAAGGAAAGCACACATGGGGAGAGAATATCCAGCAAAACTTTCATATAGAACCAGGCTCCCAAAAGGAGTACTATTTATGTTAGCTATTAATCATGTAAAAGAAAATTTGGGTGAAAATGTTTAATTGAATATTGAAGGGAATAGTGTAGTAGCCAAAAACTGTGTAGATGGAGTTGGTGTCCAAGAACTGTGTGTGGCATTGGGTTCAAGTGTCAGAAATTACCTTCCCCCTCCTTCTACTATCCCACACCCACTTCTATTTCCCCATTTTAGCTCAAGGCTCTGGCAGATGGGTAAATAATCCTCCCTAGTACAGGATCATGGATTTAACGCTATAAGGTTCCTTAGAGATCCTTCACTTTTACAGAAGAAACTGAGGCTTAGATAAGGTGACTCTACCAGGGTCACAACTGTCTGAGTCAGGAACTGAACCCAGGTCCTCCTGATGTCCAGTCACTATACCACATTTTGACTTTCCTGTACTCTCGGCCTCAATTTACCCTGGGGTCCCAGGTCCCTGAGTCCAGCCTGGATCCAGCTGAGGCCCGCACCCCACCCTTTGGCGCTCGCCATAGAGCCCGGCACACAGTAGGCATTTAATAAATGCTTACTGATTTAATTCACAAGAATCAAAATCAACCCCTCTACTTCCTAACCTAGTTCCTTGAAAACCCACGACCCTTCCTTGGAAGCCTGTTCCCAAACACTTCCATTAACCACCCGCCCCGCATCGCACAGCTGGAGCAGGATCGCCACGAACATGGCCGCAGACGGCGGGTTCCAACCCCCCGTCCCCCCTCCCCCCTCCCTCCCCGGGCCCCGGACCGCCGCCGCCCCTCCCCCGCCTCGCAGGAGCGTGGCGGAAGTAGCTCGAGAGACAGCGGCGAACCCCCGTTGGCGGAAGGCGCATGCGTCCGCCCCTCAGTGCTTTGTAGGTCTGCGGCGTGGGGGAGTCCTAAGTTATTACCTCCCGCTTCTGCCTCCTCCCCCGCACAGTCTCAACCGCGCACCTCCTCCCCCCACCACGAGAGCAGAGGTTACGCCATCTTGTTCCCCCCCCCCCCCCCCCCCCCCCCCCCGACGCCCCCCCCCCCCGGCCACCCCCCCCCCCCCCCCCCCCCCCGGAAGAGTGTCCTGGGCAGCCGCGGCGGGAACAGCACCAGCTCCGGCCGTCCCCACCTCCGCGGCGCGGGACTCGCAGCTGTCCGTCTGTCCGTCCGCCCCTCAAGGGTTCATTAAAGCAGAGGTTGGAGGGGGAGGGAGCCTGTGGCAAGGAGATACGGAGGGAGGGGGATGGGAGGCTGGGGGGGAGGGTTGCTGGGGGGGGCCGGGCTGGTGACGGGGTGGAAGGCGGAGAAAGGACCGCCCGGAGCCGCGGCCGCGCTCAGCCCGCGCCGCGCCTGGGGAGGGGCGAGGAGCGGCGCTGCTGGCCCTGGGCTGGCGGGCGCGCGCCGGGGCTAGCGGGCGTCGAGCTTCGCGGGGAGCGCTTGCGCCGCCCCCCTCTCCCCTTCCCGGGAGGCTCGCGCCGCCCCCTCTTCCCCTCCCCCTCCTCCTTGTTCGCGGAGCCTCAGCCCGCGCGAGGAGGCCGCCGGCGTTTCCCATCTGACTCCTCCCCGTCTTCTGCGCTCGGGGATGCACGCGTGGGAGCGAGGACTGTTCTGTGCGTTTGCACGGTCTGCCCTTGGCCGTGAGGGAGGACCGACGGGCTCCTGGGGCCAGAGGAGGTCGTAGCTGGGAACGGCTCCAAGAGACCCTGCCTGGGCGAGGGAGCTAGTTATAATTGGAGAGCCGGAAAGGGGACCTTCGAGTCCAGCCTCTTGATTTTTCAGATGAGAAAAGTAAATCCCAGAGTGATTTAGTGCCTTGCTCAGGGTCACGAAGGTAGTAGTAAGTGGCAGAGGTAACATTTGAACCTAGGTCCTCTGACTCTCAAGTGCGGTGCCCATCTTGTCTGCGGGCGAGGTTTGTGAAATTTTGAACTTCCTTAATGATTACTTGGTGCCATAAGCAAACATTTATTACAGTCTTTCTGTATGCCAAGTATGGTGCTATAGATTCTGACTTCACAAACCTGCCCTGCTATCTAGGAGCTTGCATTTCAAGGGGAAAGAGGCAGGTACATAAGTGAGTATATACAAAAGTATGCAATATAATTTTGGGGTAGAGGAGGGCTGGGAAGGGATATACAAAGGTTTCGTGTGGAACTTGGCCCTTGAGTTTCAAAGCAAACTAGGGGCTCTCCTGTGGGAGTTGAAGGAATGCATTCCAAGACTTGGGAACATCCATGACTAGACAGAGGTAGAGATGAAATGTCTTTTTTGAGTAGCAGCAAGAAGGCTAGTTTGTCTGGACCATAGAATGTGGAAAGTAAGTGATGTGTAATAAATAAGGTTGGAGAGGTAGATTGTGAACAAGTTATGAAGGGTGTTAAAATCTGAATAGAGAAATTTATATTTGATCCTAGAGGCATTGGGAACGATTGGAGTTCAATGACTGACAAAGTTAGACCTACACTTACGGAATATCACTGTAACAGAAGTGAGGAGTATAGATTGGAAAGTCTTGCGGCAGGGAGAGCAATTAAGTACTTGCAGTAAGCTATTATAATAATCCAGGCTAGGAGTAATGAGAGCCTGAACTAGGTCTTGTGATTCTCTTTTCATTAGTGTGGCTTTACAGCCTTATCCCAATGCAGATATCAACTCCTCTAGTCTTATTAGATTGACTGTAGCTTGACTGAAAAAGAAAATTTATTGGTTAGTAGTAAGCCTTCTGTCGAATATCTAAACTTTGACTAGTCATCAGAGGATAGACATATCACTAGCCCATACTTATACATTGCTACTTTGTGCAAGTCACTGTGCTAGATTCTAAGGGATACCAATACAAAAAGGGAAGTCCCTGCCCTCAAGACTTCATTATATTGGAAAGTTTTTCAGCTTGCTGTGTTATACTTCTCACATCTTGTGGCCTGTTCCATAGCCTTTTAAAAACCTAGGGTTACCCCTACTCTACAAGGTATAAAAGTAGGACTTGAGTGGAAGAATTATGTGCCTTATGTTTCGTAGAATTCATTACCAATATTAACATAGTGCAGTGGAAAGTACACTGGATCAGGAGTCAGAGGACTTAAATTCAAATTCAAGCTCTGTTATTCCTGATGTGGTCTTGGGCATTTAACCTCTCTGGATTCAGTTTTCTTCTCTGTAAAAAGGCGGCTTGGATTAGATTACCTCTAGGGTCATGTCCAGCCCTAAATGCATGATTGTGAACTTGTTTGATCTTCGTAACAGTTCTGTGACATATGTAGCACAGGTATCATTATTCACATTTTACAAATGTGAAAATAAGGCCTGGAGAAATTATGAATTCTCTCAGGTCACAGGGCTGTCTGGGGACTGGAACCTAAGTCATCTAACTGACTACAAGCTACTCAGTCAGCAAGCATTTATTAAACTGCACTGTGTCCTAGGCACTTTGTTAAGTGCTGAGGATACAAAGAAAGGCAAAACCTTTGTCTCTGTCCTCAAAGAGCTAACAGTGAAATGAGACAGACAACATGTGAATAACCATGTACATACAAGATTATATAGAGTAGATGAAACGTAACCTCAGGGTGAAGAAAAGGTGTGTGTGTGTGTGTAGACCCAGAAAGACCTGAAACAACTGGTGGGATTTGAGCTGAGTCTTGGAGAAGCCCAGGAAGGTGAAGGGGTGGAGACTGGGGAGGGGAGCATTCCAGGCATGGGGGACAACCAGTGAAAAGGCACAGAGTGGAGAGATGCAGTGTTGTGTGTGAGGAACAGTAAGGAGGCCAGTGTAGCTGGATTATAGAGTGAGTGAAGGGGAGTAAAGTCTAAAAAGGCTGGAAAGGTAGGAAGGGGTCAGGTTGTGATTGGCCTTAAATGCCAAGCAGAGGATTTTATATATGATCCTGGAGGTAATAGGGAACCAGTGGAGTTTATTGAGCAAGGGGAAGGTGTGACATGGCCAGACCTCCACTTTAGGAAGATGGATTAGATTGGAGTGGGGAGAGACTTGAGGCAGGGAGACCAACCATAGTCCAGGTTAGAAATGATGAGATCCTGAGCTAGGGTTATGGCTGTCTGAGTGGAGAGAAGGGAATGCATGCAATAGATGTTGTGAGTGAAGAAATGACAAGATTGATAGCAGATTGGCTATGTGGGATGTGTGAGTGAGAAGCTGAGAATGACATGGAGGTTGTCATAGATGACAACCATATGCCTGGGTGTGATTAGGAGGATGGTTGTGCCCTCTATAGTAAGCAGTGGGAAAGTTGGGAAGAGGGAAAGGATTTGGGGAAAAGAAAATGAGTTTTGTTTTGGATATATTGAATTTAAGATGCAGATGCGATATCCAGGTGTCCAAAAGGTGATATGAAATTGGAGCTCAGGAGAGAGACTAGGGCTGTATGAGTAGATCTGGAATCATCGGCATAGAGATGATAGCTGAACCTATGGGAGCTGATGAGATCACCAAGTGAGACAGGATAGAACAAAAAGAGAAGTAGCCCCAGGACACAGAGCCTTGGGGACCATCAGCTGTGAGAGGGCATGACATGAATGGAGGTCTAGCAAAGGAGACTGAGAAGGAGCAGTCAGAGAAGTAGGATGAGAAACAGGAGAGAAAACAATGTCATGAAAACCTAGAGATTATCAGGCAGAAGAGTGTGATTGACAATGTCCAAGGCTGCAGAGAGGTCAAGAAGGATGAGAACTGAGAAAAGGTCATTAACTTTGACATTTAAGAGATCATTGGTAACTCTGGAGAAGAGTTATATTCCAGAGTTTTCTCTTTTTTGCATCCAGAACTCCATTGTTAAGTACATCCTCTGTACTGATCAGACAGCTTCTGAAATACTGTATTCAGTTCTGAACCTACATTTAAAGGCAAATAATAAACTGGAAGGGTCCAGAAATGGTAAGAAGCCTGAAATACTGTGTTATATAAAGTGAACAGTTGATTAACCAATGTTTATCTTGGACAAGAGACTAAGTGGTTCCTAAGAACCCTTCTAGCTTTGAAGAACCTATTCTCCTAAAGCAAGGTGAGGAAAGGAGCATGATGGCTCTTTTCAAATATTTGAAATATTTGCTAATATAATAAAAATGACATTTCTACCTAAACTAATTTACTTATTCATTGTTATACCAAACTACCAAAATTTTATAGAACTAGAAAAAATAATAAGATTCATTTGGAATAACAAAAGGTCCAGAATATCAAGGGAACTAATGAAAAGAAATGCAGGAGAAAGTGGCCTAGCCGTTACAGATCTTAAATTGTATTATTAAGCAGCAATCATCAAAACTACTTGGTACTGGCTAAGAAATAGAGTGATGGGTCAGTGGAATAGGTTAGGCATGCAAGACACAGTAGTCAATGGCTCCTTTCAAATATTTGGAAGGTATTATCTAGAGGAGGAATCATTAAACTTACTCTGTAGCTTCTGGAGAAAGAACTAAGACTACATATTAACATGAGACAGATTGCAGCTCAATATATAAAGACTCCTCCAGTAAGTAAAAATGTTGAGAAATGATTTGTGGGCACTACCTATCTCTGGTTGAATTTATGCAGAGGCTGGATGACCACTTTTCAGGGATATTGTGTGTGTGTGCATGTGCCTTATGTATACATACACATATATACATTGATTACATAGATCAATTTATCTATCCTATCTGTCTATCTGCAGGGGATGGTAAATTGGATCAGATGACTTTTAAGGTCCTTTCTCCTGTCAAGGTTCCTCGTGATGAAGTTAGAAAATGCTTGCTAAATCTTTGGGAAGTTTCCTGCCTTAGGTAATACTAATTGTTGCTTGGTAATGAGTTATAAATTGTTTCCCATTCAAATGTGATAGTTCAAATTATGTAACTATGTTTTCTCCAATATATATATAGATACATTGGGGAACAATGTGGTTGTGACTTTCTTGCCCAGCATCATGCAACACATTAATGCCAGATTTAGTTGTAGGATCAGACATTTAATTACAGTTTTCCAGCTAATCAATATTCATTTCTTAGTTTTCTTTTTTTCTTTACCTCCATTTTGGTAGTATACTTTTTAGTTTGGAGTATTTTCATTTTCAGAATCTGTGGTCCCTTAACTTTTGTCAGAAAAGCTTTTGTTTTTGCATAATAAAGTAATTTAACAAATTACAGGTGTCACATGGTTAAATCCGAAGTTTTTTGATGCCAACTGGTGATTTAATCAATGCACAAACTTCCTCTACTTGTAACTCATAATCTTAGAAGGTTGCCTGGGACAGGTTAAGTGACTTGGCCATGATCATATAATAAAAATAATAATAATAATAACAGTAACAACAGTAACATTAACAATAATGGCATTTATATGGTGCTTTAAAGTTTGCAAAATGCTTTGCAAATGTAATCTCATTTGATGCTCATAACAACCCTATAAGACAGGTGCTATTATTTCCATTACACATGAGGAAACTGAGGCTGAGATGTTAAGTAATTTGCCCAGTATCACTTAGAACCTGTAAGTGTCTGATTGTTGGATCCAAGTTGAATTACAATTTCTGTCTTCCCACTCCAAGTCCAATACTCTATCCACTTTTTCACTTAGCTGCTAGTATGTGTCTTGGCAGGACTTGAACCCAGATTTTCCTCATCCTAAGGCCAACCCCTCTATTTATGAACTCGTACTTCCTTTTTAACCTGGTGTTAAAAAGACACTAAATTACACTTTTTTTTTTTGGGAAAAAATGTGCCTTACAAGATAATTTTTCCTTTGAAAATAAGTTTGTTTTTATTAATCATGGATTTCAGGTTTTCATTTGATTAGCATTAGATGCTAATGAGACCAAAGTCTGACCTGTTGAGCTAGTTAACTCCGAACAGTTAAGAACTTTCTTAGGAAGGACTGCTCTATCCCTGCTCTATCTGCTCTGTCGTTGTCCTGGTGTCCTTATGATAGTGCCCTTGATCACAGGGCTTCGTATTACCAACTATCTCATCACTACTGGTAGAACAACTCATATCTAGCAAGTGTCCTACTGATTAGTGGTCCAATAGTATTACCTACAGATATGTAGAATTTTAGAGCTAGAAGGAATGATAGAGACCATCTAGACTTAAGACCTTCATTTTATAACTATACAGAGTGTTTTGTAGACCTAGAGGTCAGCACATGTACAGAAACTAGTGTCATTTATTATTATTATTATTATTATTGTTATTATTGTTTTAGTTTGATGTAGTAGTGGTAAATTTTATTACCATGTGGTTTAGGGAGATTAACCATCTTCAAAGTTTCAAAAGCCTGGATGAAAGCCATAGAACTTCTAACTTAAGAACTCTTTAGCCCAACCCCATTGTTTTACAAATGTGGAAACTGAGTTCCAGTGAGGTGAAATGTCTTGACCAAGGTTATATACTTGGCTAATGGCAGATGTAGATTAAGAAACTAGATCTTCTGTCCATTAATTTTCCTTCTTAAATTCCATTGGTTTAGAAGTAAATAAAAGACAGCTCTCCTAAACTCATTGAAATAAAATGATTTCTCTGGAATGAAAGTACATAGTGATATCCTTTGAAATTGACTGTAACTTAGCAAAAATGCTTGCTTGGTAGTTTATTGATTTTTAGTTATCTCTAAATGACTTATAGTCTAGGCTGGAAGGCACCTCTCACCTAGTCCAGTATCCTTATTTTCATATGCAGCTTAGTGATTATGTAGGTAATAAATAGAATGCCTTCAGCATAATGTATTTGAATTTACTAAGTAATAGAGCTGGAAGAGACCTCAAAGCTATCTAGGTCCTTCTTTGTATTTAAACCATGTAAAAGCATATTTATTTTCTTTTGTAATACATGTACGTGTACAGTCCATTTTAAGGATTGCTTTGTATAGCTAAGATATTTCCATGTGCATAGTAACAGTGCTTTGGCTAAAATACCATTTTCTATAGCAGACAGTTCCATACAACAATAGTAAGCACACCAACAGCTGATATTTATATAGTACTTTATAGTTGGAATAGTGTAGAAAAGTGCTTTGCATACTTTTTTTTTTTCATTTGACCTTTTCAACAGTCCTGTTAGGCACTATAGGCATTATTAGTTCCATTTTGCAAATGAGTAAACTCAGGCTCAGAGAGGTTAGGGGAGATGTCCATTGCTACATAACTGATAATTATCAAAGATTTCCTTTTACTCCAAGTGTGTCATTTTTCCCACCATACCTAAGAAATCAAGCAAGGAAGAGACCTCAAGGCAAACACTGTACTTGGTTTCAGGAAAGCGCAAATGAACAGTTTCTGTCTTTCCTGACTTTGGATTTTGATGCACTCGTTTGCTAATACTAGTTCTTAGGTCTGATTCTTTTAAGTTACATAAATTGGTATAGTGGATAGACTGCTGGACTTGGAGTCAGGAAGACTTGGGTTTGTATCTCGCTTTAGACATTTGCTAGCTGAGTGATTGGGCAGGTCAGTTGACCTCCAGGTCTCAGTTTCTTCATCTGTAAAATAAGAATGTGGACTAAGTGAGAAGTACCTCCTAGCTCTAAAGATGATGTACTGAACAGTGAGAAATTTAGTGTCAGAGCACTTGATTTGGAGTCCAAGGGCCTAAGTTCAAATTCTGGCTGTTCCTCAAGATATTTATGACTTTAGGGAAGTCATTTAACCTCCCTGGGCCTTAGTGTTCCTTATCTGTAAAATAAAGAAATTAACTTAGGTGATCTGTAAAAAGTCCCTTCCAGACCCAAATCCAGTGATCCTTATGAATTATCTATCTTGTCACCTTTATTCATTCCTTAGTTTCTACCAGAAATCTGAAATCAAAAGCAGCAGCTATTTAATCAAGATACTGCTTTTTGCTTGTCTAGAAATTCTGTGAGAGAGACCAGGAAACTCAGAATCATGAAATTAGAAGACATATTAGAGGCTATCTTGTTCAGCTAGCACCTGAACAAGAATATTCTCCATAATATATTTTGCAAGTGGTCATTTAATAAGTGAGAGGAAATCTCCTGAAGCAAACTATTCCATTTTTGAATAGCTCTAGTTATTAGGTTTTTCCTCACATCTATTCAGTTTTAAAGTGAGGCTTCTGAAGAACAGATGTTCTTCATGCTTGTATTTTTTTTAACCAATTTTTTTTTAAATTTAAAATTTTTTATGTTGACTTATTTTCCCTATTTCCTTTGCCACACTCATCTTTGAAGTTGATATGACTGATTATTTTGTCCTTGAGGATGGGGAACCTGTGGTCTCAAGGCCACATGTGGCCCCTAGGTCCTCAAGTGTGGTTCTTTGACAGAATCCAAACTTTCACAGAACAAATTCCCTTAATAATAAAATGATTTGTTCTGTAAAACTTGGACTCAGTCAAAAGGCCACACCTAAGGACCTAGAAGGCCACTTGTGGCCTCAAGGCTGCAGGTTCCCCACCCCTGAATAAATAATAGACTCAGATTACTAGAAGAGACCTTAATGATAATGTAGATCATGCCTCATTTTGTAGATGAAATTACACACTGTAGTTAGTTATGGACAGAGCCGGGATCTAAACCCAGATCTCCTGACTCCTAGACAGTAAGATCACAAATCTGTTAAAGTATCTCTGTGTTCCAGACACTGGAGTAGGTATTTTGGAGATACAAAGTTGTGAGAGAGTTTAGTTTCTTCCCTCAAGGAATTTATGGCTTAATAAGAGAAATACGATATATGTATAAATAACTACTGCAGAAAGCATTTTTAATGTGTTACTTGGAATTCAGTTTAATAAACATCTGTTAAGTCTCTATTTTGTGCAAGTCCCTGTGGTAAGAGGGATACAAAGATAGATACACATAGATCATTTTCTTAAGTAGCATGTAATCTAATATTACAGAGTAGTTTATCAAAAGAAAAAGATACCATTTTAAACTTGTACAGTTTTTGAAGAGACTTGGGTGATCCAGATCATCTCCTAAAAATCATTCTGAATTCTAGGGGAAACAGTTATAAATTAAATGTTCAATGTTTATTATAGGTAGCAGATTAAGTTTTAGGTTAAATTTATGATATAAGTAGGGATGTATTTTTTGTGCCATGAATGTATACTGTATGGTACTTTGGGGTCCCTTGTAGAAGCTTTATACTTCTCTCTCTCTCTATATATATAGAAGTTCATTCATTCCCATTTCATATGACTTAAATAATAATTTTATTAGTTTAAAAGATTATATAAACTTGTGGTTGTATGTTTACTGTTTTTAAATTTGGTTATAACATATGATTTATTTGATGTCCTTGATGGGGAGTACAACCCTCAGTTATAGTGTTGTTCCTATGGGAAGACAGAATTTGCTTCATGGCAATCTCCTTTATGATGTAATTTCTGACAACAATTGTGTTGGAAATTAGTACTACCTGTATAAGGCATTGTGCCTGCCTATAAGTAATTTAGAATACAGTTGGAGAACATTTGATTCTGATTAATTAGCTCTTATAGAAGATTGTAGCTTTTTTTGGGCGGGGGGTCTTGTTATAAAGAAATTATCCAGCAACTTCCCTGCCCTCCCTCTACAAACATCAAACCCCCCCCCCCCAAATCACTAAAATAAAAGTCAATATACAACACTTGAAGGAAGAAAGGTCTGGTCTGTGTGGGTATGGTAACTTAAAACTTTCTAAATTGTTTATTCATTTAAGTGAACATGTTTCATTTCCAACCATTTAGACCTGAAATATGATTTCTCACAATGAAGTTATTCACTAAAGCATCTTATTTGATGTTTAAAGAGTTAATAACTATATCTATATCATCTAATCAAGTATTGTCTA